ATAATGTTTTTCTGAGTTTATTCCTAAAGGATAAGACATCAGTACCTGTAGCTGTTCATTCATCCCTCGTGCAGATTTTGAGACAAGTTTAGTGATGGTCAGTTGCTATGGTTATGAGATATGACATCATAAGTAGAAGGTGGTAAAGCCAATTTTGGGTGAAAATACATGTTTTTTCAACTTCTTTCAAGAATAAAAGTAAATATTTGTCATGTAAAGCACAAAAAATTACCATTTCTCAAGGTTTTAACCTGATTTCTAATTCTTGGTAAAATCCAAGATGGCGGCCAAGATGGCGACTGTTGTTGGTGACGTCACAGGCCTCCAGCAGGCCACCACCCACCCCTAAAATATACCTCATCTTGTTAAGAAGATCAAAGGTCTTTCCAGTAAAGGTAAAATCTTTTCAAAATACTGCATCATATCAAAAACTTCCGGGTGGGGTTTCATCCACCCCCCCCTCCTTGTACCACGGCGGGGGTGTGAATTTGTGTGTACGTCCAAGGGTTAAGCCTGTAGATGAAATCCGAAGTCCTGAAGTGAAACCATTCAAATAAATGCTATCGGTCAGCATTTTCCTGAGGTACTGTTTCTCATACATTGTACTGTTAGTATAAGGTCATAATTCTAACTTTTGTGCTTGTTAATAATATCCTAAACTGTGATCATTCAAATGAAAGCTACTAATCAGTACTTTCCTGTGGTACTGTTCATTAGGCTTTGTAAGGTAGTTGTCGCTTTTGTGTCTCTGGATGCAAACCTTAAGTGTGAGTCATGCTGGGATTTGGCCATTTGATAATATAGTTTGAATGCAATGTATGATGGGAAGATGGTAATATGCTCGTTTAGTGTGACCATTGAAATGAAAGCACTGAGTAGTACTTTCCTGTGGTACTGTTTATTTTGCTGTTCAACATGGCTCTTACTTTTGAGTGTGTGAATGAGATCCCAAAGTGGGACCATTTAAATGAAAGCTACTGAGCAGCACTTTCATGTGGTATTGTTTATTATTATATTCTGTACAAGATGGTTCTGAGCAGTTTTCTCTTCTTTCTTTCCCCTTTTTTAGATCCGAAAGTGGGTGCATGAACAGAAAGGAAAGTTGCTAAAAATTAGGCCGGAGGATGAGGATTATGTGAAACAACGGACAGCTGAACTAGTGGCAAAAGCTGAACTGTCTTCAGAGAAAACTGTGAAGGATGTTGGGCGAGAAATGACCAGATCATGAAAGAAATAAAAAGAAATGATATGAATGAAATGACTTGTTGTAAAGATGCGGCAAAAATTGTTCAAGAAAAGAAGGAAAGTGAATGTAGACATGGCAACCATGGAAACTTCAGTCATGGATGGTGGTCCTTGTCCCTCTTAAGGAAATAAGAAACCTTTTCATCCCTAGAACCAATGGAGACAGAGACAGTGAATCTGAGGTAGTTCTCACTTCAAGTCTCTGGAAGAGGAACTTGCCAGTTGATACTAGTAGCGCATGAATAAATCAAAACTGTGCTGAAGAAGACAATTTTTATGCCAATACATTTACTTTGGGCATAGTAAAAATAAGATTTTTACCAACAAATAATAGTAAGCATACAACACCACTTTTATAATGTCACTCAAGGCTACCATCTTGTATTGTCGAGCTGAGAAGTTTTTAGACTAATCTGAATGTGTGTGGACAATGGATTTACTGGTATGTCGAGTGCTTGATAAAGTCTTTGTAAAATTAATTTATGGTGTACTAAATATCAAAACCTGCATCATTGTAGTGGTAGATTCCTTTGGTTTCTCTTCATATGTGTACATTACAAATTAACTTGAGAAATGGCTCTCCAAATCATTGACACTTGCCATGTGGTATGACCATTAGAATGTAACTTTGTTATGGAAAATTAACAAAGGTAGTTTCTTCTTGATAGCCTAAAGGACCACTTCTTGGTCATGCTTGTAAATAGCCAACTGTTTTGCCACAAAAAAAAAACAGTTCAAATTCTTACTTGCTATGATTAATAAATTTGCAATGTTTTTTTTCCATGTTTGTGGGCCACATTAAATCTTCCTGATCACTAGTAATAATATGTTACCCCAATCAATTTGAAACCTCTGCATTCCACGGGCAAACCCTGGGCATAAGCTTTCCGGGATCCAGGATTTACCTTATTCATAGTTAATTGAGTGGAATGGTTATGAAACCCGTCAGACTCCTTTGTTATATGTTTTTGTGGACCTGAAAGTGCACAACGTTCAAAAGAATTCCTATCATTTTGATTGTATTGACCAATAAAAACGTTGCATTAATTTATTCCGTAACAATTTGCCAACAGGATTGTGCACTTTCACGGTACTTCCAACATAAACTGCAGCACTGTTGTTCTTATCATTGATGTTTGCCGCTTTTCATAACCAGTCTCCTCTAATAACTATACCTTATTTAAAGGCTGGGATTTGGAATTTTAAAGCAATATGAGGTGGGATTCAGGATTTTTTTATTAATAGACCTTTCCCGCATTCCTGTGAACAAAGGCACCAACTCAAGGCTCAGGTGGACAAAATACAGTGATTTGTACGAATCTGTCCATCTGAGCCTCGTCCTCATTTCTATGTGTTTGCTCACTGGAGCATTGATTTTTCCATGTGTAATTATGATAATATTTTGTTCTTATTACTTAACTGAGGGAGCCCATTCCATATAAGCCCGGTGGCTTCTCTTGGGCTTCTTTTGTACAACTTATGGCAAAACAATAAACTGGACTGAACCCAACTGAATGCGGGAAAGGTCTATTGGAGGGAGAGGGGGACAATTTCTAAAAAAAGACAACTGTCTAAAAAAGTTGCAAGCCGTTTTACCTTAAAAAAAAAAAGAATTTTGTGATCCAGAAAAAAAAATTCCCCGATAGTTGGCTGAACAAAAATTCTTGCCCAGTGCATGGCATTTCGGAATAAAGGACAAAATCGTCTCAAATATTTATTTAGATATCTAGCCCATTTTTTGGAAACGAAACTAGCAAATGTTGTAGCCATTGGAGTGAAAAAGGGCCAAAAGGCAGGGGTTTCTCGCACCCGATAAGCTCGAAAATCACACTAGGAAAGGAAAGGAAAGAAGAAATAGAAAGGGCGAGGAGGAAGAAAGGAGGAAAAGAAGAAAAAAACAATGGTTGGTCTCCTAGTTTTTATCTATTGGCTACTTGCGATATAGTTTTTGGCTGAAAAAAAAAAAAGCTTGACGGAAGAGGTCTATTTGGTGGTAGCGTGCTCAAAATCCTGCTGGATATATGTTTTATTGCTCCGACGTAAGGATAACCTGTTCACAGACCCTTTATTTTCTCTTCAAGGTCCGTCGAGCGCGCGTGACAAAAAAACGCGGGGGATTTATTGACCACCAGCTCAAGGGGGTAGGGGTGGGGGAAGAAGAAAATAGACTTAATTAATTTTTCTTTCTCGCCGGCCTCGTTCTTGCGCTCTCCGATGTTTTAGAAAAGAACGAAAAGAAAAAATAAAACAACGTCTGTGTACAGGCTAACGTAACGAACAAGGAATTCAATGATTCAAGTGCTACTCTCTTGTGAAAGCACGCGTTAAGACAAGCTACTGTCCAGTTACTCAGGGATGCGGCTCGCTCTTAACACTGACATGACGGCTACTGACAGCCAATCTAATAAAAATGATAAAAGAAATGCAAACAAATAGCGTGACCGAGCTGATATAAAATTCAACATATGACGTCATGCAATTCATTTCTCGAAGGCACTCAGTTTGGAAAGCGAGTTGCGTCGCGGTAAGTACAAAGCAATCGACTGATCTTGTATTCAAGGCACTTGTCCTTTCTATTTAGAACGTTTTAGTACTTAACGTTTTGTATATACGGTTTTATAACTAAAAAAGACACAATCGAACGTTTGCTTGATTATTTTACGGGCTGTAGTTTCAGTTCAGTGAAAGCAGAAAACGAAAGCGGAAGTACATTTGTATGGTTAATGGCCATAGTGTATACATATATTGAAACACGCTAAACTTTAATTAAAGAGAACAAAAGTGCAGTGTTTGATAGAAAGGTGTTCTTCCATTGGTTATAAATGCAGTAAACTTTTAATCAGCAAAAATACGCTTTATATATATGCAAATTAATTATGTATATAGTTGAAAACTATCTGATGACCGTAGCGAAAGTCGCGGCGATGGTCGTTGACAAAAAGCTACAAAACCAGGACCGGACTTGATAACCAAGAAGAAAGGAAAAACTTACTGTCTGCCAGACGAAAATCCAGCTGTTTGATGTTTGATGATTTTTGGAACATAACGTAATATGTTTATCTTTAGTTTTGTTTGTTTAACACGGAAAGCATCGAAAGACCTTTTAGATGATGTTACACGAGACGATTCGCAACGAAAATTTTTAGCGCAACACAGAGTTGCAACATTGTTGCGACATTGTTTCGAGTAGTTACAACATTGTTCCAACATTGCAACGATGTGTTGCGCTAAACATTTTCGTTGCGAATCGTCCCGTGTAACATCACCTTTATACTGACATGAGTAAATTACAAACTCTTGGATATTTTCACCATTTCGTCTCAAGATAAAAAAAACGGCACATAGTTGCTTGAACCTCGCTTGGCGATGACTTGTATTCCACCCTTATTGGTCTGAATGAGTGTTAGAGTATAATGCACCGTTAGAGCAGCACCAAAACGTTAAGCGTATGAATCCATCTGACCTCATATGCACCAGCAAAAAATCATCGAATTGTTAAGGCCTTTTAAAAATACATTCGAATGTAGGCTCGCAAGCTGTAGCTGGTTATCGTCAATATGATTTATTCGGGCCTGCAGAGGAATGATCGAACCAGAATAACGACATTGTCATCAATGTGTAGTCAGTTTCGCCTACTAATCAAGGGCGTTTAGACCCATGGCCAAGGAATGGAATAATGCCCTTTTTGGGAGTGAGACAACGGAATAATGGAAATTTTTAAGCCTGAAAAATTTCCATTATTCCGGGTTAATTGACTGATGGCCTTTTTAGGGGCCATTAATAATGGAATAACCCTGCAACAGATTTTTACAGGAGATAATGGAATAATAATGAACACCCTAATATTCCGCTTCACTCTTCAAGATTTGTCTTACTGAGTTGACGCTACTCAGAACCGAGTCATACAATGTCTCATTTGTAAGCAAATTCTTAAGTCCACCTAACTAGTTCCTTGACGGTTAAAGCGGAATATAATGTGGGTTTATAGCCGTGCATAGTTAAGCCGTTCAATTCTTTGAAATGTACGTATCCAATGTTTCGATTAGATTGACTCGTTCAGCGCCAACCAGTTTATTACCTGTTCATCTGATGTTCTTTGTCTCCAGTTTCTAGAAAGGGTCGTCATGGATAACGTAGACGAAATTCTACTAGCTGTCCTTATAGGCATTGGAGTTGCCCATTACCTTCTCAACACCTTTAGTATTCAAAGAGCTATTGAAGTATTCAAGGAATGTTTGGTTCTTCTAAACAACAAAGCTGTGGAAAAGCAAATGAATCTCATCAAGTATAAAACGGATCTATATTTTCAAATATTCAATGCTCATCTTCGTGACGGTGATGATGCAAGTGCCTTGGAGAGTGGTAGAGACCTCCTGGTCTACCTTCGTGAAACTGGACAGAGAGAAATGGAAGGTACCTTGAACTTTAACCTGGCGGAATTGTTTGAACGCCAAAGTAAATACCGAGAAGCGAAGGACTTCTATGAAGAAGCACTCAACATCATGAAAGAGACTGGTGATAATCAAGGAGAAGAAACTTGCTATGGATGCTTAGGCAGTCTTTTTGAAACTCAGGGAGATTATGCCAAGGCTGAAAAATATCTTCAAAAGGGACTCGCAATTGCAGAAGAAATCTCCGACAGAGACGGAGAGGCTGCTTGTCTTGGGATGTTAGCAAATGTCTGTCAGTCCCTCTGTAAATTTCTAAAAGCTGAAAAACATCTTCAACAAGCAATTAAGATTGCAAGAGAAATCGGCGATAGAGAAGGAGAAGCCTGTTATTTCGGACACCTGGGTTCTGTTTATGCGTCACTCGGTGAATATGGTAAGGCTAAAGATTGCCACAATAAGTCACTTACCATTGCAATACAAATGGGCGACAGAGACAGAGAAAGCTCCTGTTACAGAAACCTAGGAACCCTCTCTCAATCGGTCAGAAAATTTGACGAAGCTGAAAAGTATCTCCAGAGAGCGCTTGCGATCAAGAAAAATTTGGGCGCGAAAAAAGAAGTAGCAGCACTTTACGCAGACCTTGGAGTTTTATCTATGTCGCTTTGTGAATATCTTAAAGCTAAGGAATATTTTCTGAACGCGCTTTTTATCAAGAAAGAAATGGGTGACAGAAAAGGAGAAGGCATGGTGTATGGAAATTTCGCATCCGTTTTTCAGTCTCTTGGTGAATACGCGAAGGCTGAAGAATATCTTCAGAATGCATTACAGATTATGGAAGAAATGTGCGACAAAAATGGAGAAGCATCGTGTTATGGAAACCTGGCAACTGTGTTTCACTCTATCGGCGAATATGCCAAGGCTGAAGATTATTCCCAGAAAGCTCTTGCGATCTGCAAAGATATGGGTAACGAAAAAGGAGAAGCGACAAACTATGGTAACTTGGGAGCCGTGTTTCAATCTCTTGGTGAGTTTGCCAAAGCCATAAAATACCACGAGAAAGCTCTTGCGTTAAGAAAGAAAATTGGCGACAAAAAAGGAGAAGCAGATGATTACGGAAATCTGGGAACGCTTTTTTACTCTACGGGCGCCTATACTAAGGCTCAGGGATATTACGAGCTCGCCCTTTCGATCAGAAAAGAAATCAGCGATAAAGGAGGGGAAGCAACCGATCAAGGAAACCTGGGAAATGTGTTTCGAGATTTGGGGGAATATAGCAAGGCCTGCGAATATCACAATAAGGCTCTTTCAATTTGCAAAGAGATCAGGGACATCAGAGGACAATGCGAATGGCACTTTTACCTAGCATTAGACATTCTGGCTAAAGGAGACACACAAGAAGCGTTTTCTAATCTCTATGCTAGTATCCATGAAAACGAAAATCTTCTGGGATTTCTTGGCAACAGTGACCAGTTCAAGATAGCCTTTCTTGAAGAGCACGCTCTTTCCTATCAACTACTCAGTAAACTGTTTTGCGATGCTGGGAAAACTTCTGATGCTCTCCACGTGGTGGAGCTTGGGCGAGCCAGAGCGCTGAGGGACTTGATGTCAGCTCAGTACTCTGTGGAGAAGGAAATATCATTCAGTCCACAGACACGTGTTAGTATTGAAAAGGTCATGGAAAGAGAAAGCTCCGTTTGTTTATACCTTTCATACTTTGGACAATTTCTTTTTCTGTGGGTTCTGAAGGCATACAAACCCATTGTCTTCCGAAGAATAGATGTAAACGACTGCCTTCTCGACAAAGCAATGGAACGAAGTGTTGACGAAGTACTTACCAGTAAAACCTTAATCAGAAAGTTTAAGGTATTGGATCAGCAAACTTGTGAAGACCGATCATGTTACCAGCCTCAAATGTCAGCCGCTGGACAAGCGAATCATGCCCAGAAGAGGACCCGACAGACAAAATCCAAGATCTGGAAGTGAGTCTTGAGCTTTACTACAGAATGCTGGTTACTCCTGTGGTTAAATTCCTCAATGAACCCGAAATTCTCATTGTTCCTGATCGTTCCCTCTATGAAATTCCGTTTGCAGCATTAAAGGATGAAAATGGAGAATACTTGTCCGAGAGATTTAGAATCCGCATTGTACCTTCGTTGATGACTCTTAAACTCATTCAAGACAGTCCAGCAGAGTATCACAGTCGGTCTGGGGCACTGATTGTAGGGGATCCTGATGTTGGTCGCGTATTGTACAAGGGAACTGTTTGTAACCCGATCAGATTACCTAGCGCAGCAGAGGAAGCAGATTTGATTGGACAACTGCTCGGAGCTGAGCCTTTGTTAGGACAACAAGTAACAAAACAGGCGGTAGTTCAAAGGATAAATTCAGTAGGCCTGGTTCATTTCGCTGCCCATGGCAATGCTGAAACAGGAGAAATTGTTTTGGCTCCTCCGCGCCCCACCACAGGGACTCCGCAGGAAGAAGACTATTTGTTAACAATGACGGACATTTCACAAATTCGACTACGAGCCAAACTGGTAGTCCTTAGCTGTTGTCACAGCGCACGTGGAAAGATAAAAGCTGAGGGAGTGGTTGGAATTGCTCGAGCTTTTTTAGGGTCCGGTGCCCGCTCAGTGTTGGTAACCCTGTGGGCCATAGAGGACGAAGCGACATTGCAGTTCATGAGTCGTTTCTACGAGCACCTTGTTCGTGGGGAAAGTGCCAGTGAATCTCTTTACAAGGCTATGAAGTGGATGAGAGAAAATGACTTCTCTAATGTGCGGCAATGGGCACCTTTTACGCTGATTGGTGATGATGTAACTTTAGATTTTGAACAGTAAAGGTTAGTGTTTATAGTGCGTGTTTCTATGTACCTGTTTTCATAAAACAAACGATTTTTCTTTTGGAAAAATAAAAAATACATATATCTCTGGGATTGATAACAAAAAAATTTAAAGGCATATTTTGTAGTCTGTAAAAAAAAAATGAAACAGAAAGAGGAAGTAGATTCAGTAATGCCGAACGATTCTGAACGTCTTAGAGTATACGACTATTTTTCTGAAAAACACGAACGTTTTCCTTAAAAACCTCAAAAGGGCGAGGGAAATCAGGAGTGGGTAGACTAGTCGTGGGTACGTCATGATTTTACTTTAGCATGAATCCGCGGTTACCTAGCAAACTCGACGTGTTTTCTGTTTCATTTTTCCTTGAGATTAGGCCATCCGTCATCTGCTTGCAAAAAAAGTGTGGTTTCCTAAATCTTAAATACATTTAAGAGGATTTTTTAGTCTAATTATAGTTGAAGAAAGCTGAAAGGAATTTTAATACATAGATATCCTCTCTGCATGAAAACGGATAATAAAACGGAAATTTCCTTATTTCACTTCTTCAGTTATTTTCTCACAACTGACCGAAATTTTCATAGGGAAATTTTGTCGCGATTAAATGAGTTTTCTCCAAAGCTCTTACATACGCTTTTCCGTGAAACATTCCCCGCGATATTGGTGTTAGTGGTTCCAGAATACAACCAATAGAATGCAATCGTGAGTGGTGTTTATTTATCTTCTTCAGTTTCGTTGGTCATGGCAAATTTTCACGTAAAACCCAAACCAAATTAACTTATAATTTCTGATCTTGATACTCCTGTTGTATTAGCTTTCAATTTTTTCCCTTTATTACCTAGAAACCAAAAACAAAATTCTTTTCGACCGCTCAAAGGTAACGATGAAAACACAACGTGAATCTATTACTAATTATGTTTGTAAATTCTTGTTTTAGCTTGAAAACATCCATTATGAAAATTGATGGCCAGCAAGTATGCAAATGTATGGAAAATAAAAAGTAAGCGTTTACCTTAGAAAAGACTTTAACCCACAATGGGACAACTACATTGCCGCCGTTTCATTATTTTGGGAGGGTCTGAATGGGGTTTAGTGTTTAGTGTTTAGTTGCCCATGAGTTTGCTGTTAAATTGGCCAATTTTTTAATGATTGCTGTTTCTGGGGAAACAACTGTTAGTGTTTGGAGGGTTTTTCGTGAAAAATACATAAATAAATAAATAAATAAATAAATAAATAAATAGGACATTAGTAATTCTTACGTGCTCTTGGGAAAAAAACAGATTTCTCCTCGTAAATGTTTTGTTGTCTTTGGACATCTTCGACAGCCTTCCGACACCTTCGGTAGTCTTCGGACTGAAATCTTTTGAAACAAAATTGTCAGAAAATAGCCGAAAACTCCTTGAAATACTAGACAAAATAATATTGGTTTTTCTGGAGCCGTTTTGTTTCTCTCTGAAAAAAAAAAACTACTGTTACAGTGAATTTTTTACTGTTGGTGTTAAAATGCCTAAAATTTAACTTTTTTATGTTACAGAGCCAAAAAATTAATAATAAGTGTTAAGTGTTATCGAGATACCCCCCATTCAGACTCTTAATTTTCTGGAACAGCATTACGTCTGTTATTCTGTCCCCGCTGATTTTGCAACTTACCATCTTAATAATAGCTTCAAAGAAAAGCTTAATTTGTCCAGAAAGAATAATATGCAGTTTGATTTGACAGACTTAAAAACTTTAACGCACCTGACCGTATTTAGTCAAAAAAAAAAAAAACCGCTGAGGAAGTATCTAGACTAAATGTTACATTTAAGCATGAACGATTTATTTTTGTTACTTTTTGTTACAATGTTGTATTAGCATTTTTGGCATAAGAGGGACCGGAGTACCAAGGAAACCAGAAATAGCTTTTACCAAGTTGTCCCCCTTTAATTTTTTCAAATAATTTAAAGCAAGGAAGTACAGGTTAGTTTGTTAGCAAAAGTCAATCCAAACTAACAGTAATAATGATAATAGTAATGGGAAAAGACTTACAGTCATAATGTGTGTGTAATGGCCTAGCAAGCATTTCTTGTATAAAGTGCTAATTTATATTCTCTCCGCTGTACTGGTGATACAAGTAATTAACAATTATTCCTTGAGCCCGAATGGGCTATTGACTCAGAGGCCATGAGGGCGAGAGGAATAATTGTTTAGTAAAATCCAACTAGTTGGTCAAAAATATCGGAATTTAAAAAAAATTAGCTAGTTAAAGCTAGACTTTAATCCTTTTTTGCCGCCCAAAAGCCCGCGCTTTTCGCTACTAGGGGGCTATAACATATAGCCTAGTAGTAGCTCACCCAATCAGAACGCAACATTGATGATAGACCACTAGTTGGATTTTACTAAACCTCTTTAGCCTGTAGGTTTTGTTTTCCCAATAGCTCACTTCGGAAAAAGCCTTGGACCCAAACTAGGCGCACGCGCATTTATGGGATTATTTGGGGGGACGGGAATGTAAACAAACATGGCGGAAAGCGCGGAAAGCGAAGTGGAATGTTTCAGCGGGTTAAAACAGCTCAAAATAGCAAACGGAAGGCGGAATTGAAAGAAAAAAAAAACACGAAAATGTGTTCCCCCAAACAACCCCATAAATGAACGAGCGCTTAGTTTGGGTCCCAGGCTATCACCGTTTTCCAAAGTGATCGGGCTATAGGGGTCCCAGGAGAACTTGGCCCTTTATCTTTTCATAAATTATGCTTAAATATGCACGCCAATAAGACGAAATTGAAAGAAACACTTCTCTAGAGTATTCTTACCTGACCTGAATTAAAAAAACAAAACAAAACAAAACATACAAGCTAAAGAGGTCTATTACTGCTGAGGTGTCTAATAATTATCTATTAATGAATGAGGCTGAGTATCTTACGAAGAATTATGGAAATCGAGGAGGGTGTTATCCGTCGAGGCCGTAGGCCGAGGCGGATAACACCCTCCTCGATCTCCATAATTCTTCACTATGATACGAAAGCCGAATTCAATAATTGTTTTATTATTCATTCAAAATAACTTGCTGTTTTTGCTGTGTTTTTATCCATTATTTCGCCTAGTTCCAGCTGTAGTCGGTTGCTATGTAGTTCTTACTTTTGAAACAAGTGAAGTGTCCGCCATTTTAGTTTTTACAACGAAAACAACTCAATCTCGTCCCCAGGTCTTCTCGGTCAATGTTGCATTAACCTGTAAAAGGCTGCATTTTTGACGTCATTTCGTCGTTAAACACAAAATTCTTCCAAATTTGGTCATCAGTAACCGGTTATGGTGAATTATTCGTGTGCTTTTAGCCAATCAGAATTGGGGACATATTTTGAATGAATAATAAAATAAATTAATCGAGGACTAATTTAGCAATTTATTGGGAGACTATCAAGTCACTTAGAAATTTCCATGCCGGATTTTGTTGAGAAGATCCCAAATTTCTTTTCTATAACTTTTCTTGTGAAGATTGTTTGATTTCCTTGTCAGATTATTTCAGTAAAATAACAAAAAAATGTAAAATTTTAGTATGTTAAAACAATAAATTTCTGATGTAAGCTTCAATCAGTTGTTTCGTTTTGAGTGGCCTTGGCAATTTTTAATGCATTGAAAGTTAGGGGAACTTTTAGGAGACTGCCATCCTTCATCCTTCAGCCCGGTTAGCTGGGTTGGCACTCTTTGCCGGGCTGGCTCGGCTCATGCCTTGTTTCCTCTCAAAATTGTCGTTTTGTTTATATGAGAAGGCGGGCTGGCCCGGCTTGCCGATATCTAGGCTCGAGTAATCGGGGTTTCGGCAAGCGGGGCAACCCGCTTTCTCATATAAACATGGATAAGGCCAGCCCGGCTAACCGGGCTGGCTCACTCGATATAAAAAGACCCTAAGGCAGCAAGAAAACATAACGTGTAAGAACCCGCAATCACAAGAATACCAGTTAGTTTCAACTAGTTCAGTCGCTTTAAAATTGCTTAGATGGTAATTCCTTGTTTATGAAGACTCCTCCACAGTTTCCCCTCTGTTTGTACTAGTTTTTCACTTGTTCACGTGCACAGAGTGTTGCCTAGTCCCTGGGTTGTCCCTGGGCCTCATTATTCCGCGCGACCAAAAGCGTTTCGGGTCACGTGGTCCAAGCGAAGATGTGAGGCCCAGAAAAAATACTCAAAAGTGAGACAAAAGTGAGACATCTCATGCGGTGGTTTACAAGATCAGCGTTTCGCATTTCAAGGTGAATATATAGATTTAGCCAGGGCTAAAAGCAAAGCTCTTGTTAACGTACTTGTAATTTACACAAACAAAACATAAAATCGTGTAACGCTAAACGGCGTCGACAGTGAGAAAGGCAAAAGAAGACATTAGGTCTAATTAGTAAAAAAACAACTTTGTACGTGCAGCACACTTTTTTGTACACATTTCTTTGCCATTGTTATCTCAACGTGAAACTTCCTAGTTACACGTTTTATGGCAAAAATGTTGTATGTGCACACAAAAAATTTTGTTGCTTGTGTTCCTGTTCGCTATTTTTTTTTCACTGTCGCTCATTTTCACCTCCCTGGCCACTAGCACTTCTCATTTTCTCACCGCAGGTATAAAATTTTCGTGTTGTTTTTCCAACGAAATTTGAGGAAATGACAGTTAATCTAAGATTAATACTTTAGACAACCCAGATATAGAAACAATTTGCGACTTTCAGTTTGTTTCTATTTAGAGGAGAAGTCGTTACGTCACGTTGACATGGCCAGGGAAAATTTCTGGATGACAACGAACCTAAACATCACTTAAAAGGTGAATTCGCACTGTTGCAAACTTCATCAATCTTATTCAATTTCCTCCGGGAGCCGTTTAATTTGAGTCCGAAAAGGACCGTATTTATTTAGAGAAAGACTGAGAAATTTTTTATGTTGTGTTTACCTCAACCCCATAAAGCAAGAGAGTGAAATTAGGAAATTTCATGTCG